GTGACTGATACTCACATCACATGGCCATCGTTCACAGGTGACTCATACTGACATCACATGGCTATCATTGACACCTAATTAACACCTATTGTTAACAGGGGGTGGAGTGATACTGCCAATGGCAGCACTGTAGGAGGGGGACAACTGAAAACGGAGGCCTCCACCTCTGTTTAATGATGGACGGTCTTTCTTTACAAAAATGTCTTCTTTTACTCCTCTCTCAAACCTACATTGCTCTGTTTGTGCCGGGGCACCGGATCTTTGGGGTGAACCAGCCTTTGCAGGAACGTTGGTTTGAGAGAGGAGTAAAAGAAGACATTTTTGTAAAGAAAGACCGTCCATCATTAAACAGAGGTGGAGGCCTCCGTTTTCAGTTGTCCCCCTCCTACAGTGCTGCCATTGGCAGTATCACTCCACCCCCTGTTAACAATAGGTGTTAATTAGGTGTCAACGATAGCCATGTGGGGGTTGAACCAAACTGTCATTTCCCTTTTGGATCAATGAAGTATCTATCGTTCATTTTGTTCATGAAAAGAAGCTATGGGATAAATCTGGTTCCAGCAGGAACTGAATTTGAATTCTTCAGATTGACTCTGAATGTTCATAACTTTAAATTGAATGCGCTGGTTTGAAAATAAATTTCACTAAATTGAAACTTTATTTAAAGTTTTGAATTTGAATTAATTTTCTTTGAAACTGTATTTTGGTTTATTAAAAATTCAGTTTGACTACTTTCACTTTCAGTTCCACGGCTGTGTCCAAAACAACAGGACGGGTCCTCCGAAGGTCGAATTCATCATCCTCGTACGTCACAGCGCCGCGACGAAGGACGTCCAAAACCGAAGACTCCTCCGATGCGTCCGACAAATACATCCTTCCTTTGGCCCGAATCGAAGGACAGGTCCGATGGATCCTTCCCGGCCCAGCATATCCCATAATGCATTGCGGTCCAACTGGAGATTTTTTAAAGCTAGTAATGACGGACGAAGCGAGAGAAAATAATACGTTTTAAATAAAAATATGGCGATATAAAAATTAAAAAAATTAGCGGTTGTAATTCTAACACTTATCATTTGTATGGACATGTTTTTAAATATTTTGCCATAAAAAAAAAGCGAAATAAACATGAACCTACAGCGGGTCAATTAGTTCTTCAAATGATACTTTTAAGTTCATTTTATAGTTTTGTGATATTAATAATACTAATATATTGGTATTTTCCTAATTTTGATTTAAGTTTGCTTGTTTAGCATCGTCACAGTTGCTAGGTAAGACGTACACCGGGGTAAGGAGGGGAGGCTAGACCGTCCAAATTCACAGCCTTTTTTTCTTCTGGTCTTCCCGGTCTACCAAGGACCCGGCCCACCTCGACCGGGTAGTCTGGGTCCTCCGGAGGACCCGGCCTGCCGTTTTGGACACAGCCATGGAACTGAAAGTGAAAGTAGTCAAACTGAATTTTTAATAAATCAAAATACAGTTTTAAAGCAAATTAATTCATTTTCAAACCAATTAATTCAGTTTCAAATCATGAACATTCAGATTCAGTTCCTGTTGGCACAAGTTTTATCCCATAGGTCCCATTCAAGATGGCCGCCATTTGACAGGAAGTGGACACATCAGACTCAGACTGCGAGTGTTTATTAAATTACAAAGATTATTCATTCATCTCATTATTCAGGTTTTTATCTTCGTTACTGAATCACAACGGGCCCACCGGGACCAGAACACAACGGTCTGGACTCCATCGTCACTTCACAACAAACAGAACCCAGACGATGAGGATGATGAAGATGAAGGCCTAACCACACGCTCAAACACAGGTGTTGGTTCTGTTTGGACCGGTCCTGTTTGGACCGGCTCTGGTTCAGAACCGGTCCTTTAAATAAAACTTTTAAAAGTTCTGTGTTTAAAAACCCAAATGGTGATTAAAATCTGTTTAAACGAACGGGTCTGGACCAGAACCAGAACCAGAATCTGGTGCAGGAGCTGGTCAGGACTTCAGTTTAATTCTGGACCTCTGCAGGCGAAACCAGAATCGGGTCTTTAAAACTTCCAGGTGGTTCTGATCCGTGAGACGTGACCGGGTTTCTTCAGGACTGTGCCCGGTGGTTCTGAGGCCAGGCCCGGTTCTGACAGGAACTGATCAAAGTTCAGGTAAAAGGATAAAATAACTTCAAGGTTCTGAGTCACACAAACGGGTTTCATATTGAAAGGTTCTGATCCGTCTGGACCGATGGCGGGACAGTCTGTAGGTTACAGCGCTGCCTCAGGCCGGGCCGGTCCGGTCCGGTCCGGTTCTGGAGCAGAGGGGGGTCAGTTGTTCTCGAACAGAGACAGCAGGTCATCGTTGTTGTTGGGCAGGTCCGGCGGGCCCAGGTAGGACAGCAGCTCGTCTGGGTTGGTCAGTTCTGGAAGCAGCTGCAGAGACAAACACCGGGTCAGAACCAGGACCAGAACTAGAACCAGAACCAGGACCAGGACCCGGGGTCAGAACAAGGACCAGGACCAGGACCAGGACCAAAGCCCGGGGTCAGAACCAGGACCAGAGCCCGGGGACGGGTCTACTTACATCCAGAGAAGGTTCTGGAACTTCCCCCAGCCCAAAGGGGGCGTCGCCCTGGAGACGAGGGTTCTGGTTGTTTCTCTGCATCACCTGGTTGTTGCCATGGAGACCCTGAGACTGTTGCTGGGAGACGAGAGGAGATTAAATATAAAAAAGAACAGAATAAAATGATGATGATGATGATGATGATGATGATGATGAAGAATCAGCCTACCTGTGTAGCCAGCGGGTGAGGGGGGGGCTTGTCGGGGGTGAGGAGGGCACTGGAGAGCTCTGATTGGTAGGGGAGGGGGGGAGGTCCGGGGGAGGAGAAGTTCCCCACGCTGGGAGACCCGGGTCCGCTGAAGTCAGAGAACGGCGCCGACGGAGCGGGAAAGGACGGAGCTGAGGGACGAGACGCACGGGTCAGTCCTGACCCGGGTCCTGTTCCAGAGCACAGACCCGGGTCACGTGACCCACCTGCTGAGGGGAAGTCAGGTGTGTTGCTGCTGCTGGCCCCACCCCCTGAAGGCAGGGACGGGTACGGCATGGGCGAGGAAGAGGAGGACGGCGCCGCGGGCGTGTTGGAGGGGGCGGGGCCAAGGGAGATGATCATCTCCATGACGCTGGGCAGGACCATGTGGCTCGGGCTCAGGGTCCTGCAGCGCTTCAGGACCGGACCGTCTGGCTCCTCCTTCACGTGGAGGTCGGGTTTCACCGGGATCGGCTTCCAGGAGCAGACCGGGTCGATGGTGATCTCCTCGTAGTCGGAGCTGAGCGAGGAGGAGGAGGAGAGAGGAAGAGTTCATTAAGACCAGCTCTCCTTAAGTCCCGCCCCCTCAGTCACAGCTCTATTTAAGCCCCGCCCCTCAGTCACTAGCTCTCTTTAAGCCCCGCCCCTAAGTCACCAGCTCTCAAGCCCTGCCCCTCAGTCACCAGCTNAAGCCCTGCCCCTCAGTCACCAGCTCTATTTAAGCCCCGCCCCTCAGTCACCAGCTCTATTTAAGCCCCGCCCCCTCAGTCACAGCTCTCAAGCCCTGCCCCTCAGTCACCAGCTCTCTTTAAGCCCCGCCCCCTCGGTCACAGCTCTCTTTAAGCCCTGCCCCCTCAGTCACCAGCTCTATTTAAGCCCCGCCCCCTCAGACACAGCTCTCTTTAAGCCCCGCCCCCTCAGTCACAGCTCTATTTAAGCCCCGCCCCCTCAGTCACCAGCTCTCTTTAAGCCCCGCCCCCTCAGTCACAGCTCTATTTAAGCCCCGCCCCCTCAGTCACAGCTCTCTTTAAGCCCCGCCCCTCAGTCACCAGTTCTATTTAATCCCCGCCTCCTCAGTCACAGCTCTCTTTAAGCCCCGCCCCCTCAGTCACCAGCTCTCTTTAAGCCCCACCCCCTCAGTCACAGCTCTCTTTAAGCCCCGCTCCTCAGTCACAGCTCTATTTAAGCCCCGCCCCCTCAGTCACAGCTCTCTTTAAGCCCCGCCCCCTCAGTCACAGCTCTCTTTAAGCCCCACCCCCTCAGTGATCACTCTCTTAAAGCCCCGCCCCCTCAGTCACAGCTCTCTTTAAGCCCCACCCCCTCAGTGTAAGCAGGCTCTTACTTTTGGACGTAGATGAGGATCCCCAGCATGTACTGGTCCACCTCCAGGCCCTCCAGCAGAGCCGTTTTACTGCAAACACAAACATGGGTCTTTAAAGGTCCTCCTCACACCTGCTGGGTCTGAGGAGGACCTAGACCTCAGACCCAGCAGGTCTGGACTGAGCAGGTCCAGTCTGGGTTCTTACTTGCAGACGGGACACCTCCAGGTTCCTCTCTCACAGTTCAGCTGCAGGTACGACTCCAGGTCAAAGCACTGAGGGAAGAAAAACAAACTGATTCGATGGCTCACCACTTCCTGCTGCTCCTGAGTACTTCCTGTTTTCTACTTCCTGGTATCCAGAGGTGGACTGTGATTGGCCGACGTCCTCACCTGTATGTGTCGACAGTCATGGCCTCTGGCGGGCAGCTGGATGCGCCGGAACGTGATGGGACATTTTAACGAGACTCTGATGGCTGTCTGCTCCACACCGTCCTCTCCGTTTAACCCGGGGGTCCCAGGGATTGAGCCGCTGCTGAAGTTCCTTTTTACTGAAAAACAAAAACAAGAACAAACTCAGTTCATAAAATAAATCACTACAAAACTGATCCTGAGGTCCAGAAACCAGGAGCAGCAGGTCTGGACTGGTTTCAGAACTGGTTTTAAAAGCAGAGAAGAAGAACGTACTCTTGGTGACGCAGTGCTCCGCCGGCAGCAGCCTCTTCTTCATCAGACCCTGAAGAACCGAACGCACCGAGGGACGGTGGACGAGCTGCAGGACGAACAGGTGAGACTGCACACAGACAGGTGGGTTAGCTTCATCTGGGTTAGGTTAAACCTGAGTTAGCTTCATCTGGGTTAGGTTAAACCTGAGTTAGCTTCATCTGGGTTAGCTTTATCTGGGTTAGGTTAAACTGGGTTAGATTAATCTGGGTTAGGTTGAACTGGGTTAGGTTGAACTGGGTTAGATTAATCTGGGTTAGGTTGAACTGGGTTAGATTAATCTGGGTTAGGTTGAACTGGGTTAGATTAATCTGGGTTAGGTTAAGCTGGGTTAGCTTCATCTGGGTTAGCTTCATCTGGGTTAGGTTA